GAGTCCTTTTCATTAAAAAGGATCTATTAAGCTCCTCCTTTTTTCAGCAGTACATGTACTAATAGTTGTAAAAAATTTTTAATCATCTCTGCTTGATTTCGTCCAGGGTATTGCAAGCTTCATTTCAGCTGTGTCTAAAGGAATCTGAACGGAGGTTAATGCGATTTGAAAGTCCACTGCAATGAAAGTTTCGCATACTTGGAGTTCGGATAAAAGAAATGCTCTTTCATGTGGTTTCCACTAAAACTGCAATTGTTCCATTACTTCTCTAAATCGGTTTCCATGTTCATTTTACTTACAGTAATTTTAAATGGGGAGAGAGGGGGCATTCATGGAAATGGCTAAGCAAAATGAAGAATGCTTCAAATAACATCCTGGGTCGACCTTGAAATCCCTGAAAACTAATTAGGCTTGAAACTACTAACATGTGTATTAAATAATGCATATGCAACAATAGAAAGGAGGATATAAGCTATTTCAAAATATCTTGGCAAAACGTATTACTACTCCATGTTGCCTCACTTCTGTGCACCAGTTTGCTAATGTTCACCTACACAAGACCTTCTGAAAAGGCAAAAAATTATGTAGAATTAAATTGTAGCTTCTTGGTATATTGCACATTCTTAGGCAAGGACTGTTACTCTGGCTGGAAATGTAAGAACACTGTGGTTATAAAACTGATTTAATTATATATGACCAAGGATAAGACATCTACTTCATACCAAGGTCTAGCATAAGACTGTGGGGAAATTGGAGAGCCATTTACTCTTAAGTATGCTAATTTATTTTACTTAAAAATACTCATGTTGCATCTTTACTGTCATATGTCATAAAAAATTTTTTTATTATGACTAGGGGCCTCCAAAGTCTGGATCATTCTACCTTTTCAAATGTAATATTTAAACATATGCCCACTCTTCAAGTAAAAAGCAAATACTAAAACTGTAAACAGCAAAACAATGGTATTTCTTTTTCCCTTCAGGAGTTTTAATTAGAAGTTGCAGTATTATTTGAACAAAATCTAATCTCCTTAGAATCTGGTGCAGAATGAAAGATGATTACTTTCTTTAACACTATTTTTTTCTCTTCCAAAGTGATAATAATAGTGAAACTGACTTTGGTCAGTTCAATTCCCAGGGAAACATTGCTGCTAATATTTATATATGTAAGGCAGTAAGAATTGCAAGCTGAATACTTTTTCTAATCAAAGACTAAGCATTTAAATGCATCCTAAGGAAAGGTTTCTTATTTTAAGTTTCTTGCTAAACTTTAAGATGAAGAACATTTCAGAAAACAATGTTTGTTTGATTATTTTTCCTGTTGACACTGCATTAACCTTTAAATTTGCTTTTATTTCAAAATAAATCTTCCCCTTAGCTAGAAACACCAAATTATGTAAACTTTAAACAATGCTTCANGTACAGGGATAGTAAAATACATAACTTTTCTTTCTTGACTTAAAACATGATTTGAATGAAGTATATGTAAGGACTGTGGAAGAAACGCACGGAATATATTTGTAACCAATTGATACGCTTTCAACAAGATGTAACGAAAGATGATTTTTTTCTTTTTTTTTTAACTAAAACAATAAAAAATTTTTTTAAAAAACAAATCTTTATTGAAGATGGTACTAAATATACAGCATTCTCATACTTACACACCTCTTGTCCAAATATTCAGTATGATAGTTTAGTTTAGTGAAGTGTAGGGTAGTGTTAAATCTGTTCTAGCTAAACTGAAACTGGGCACCAACACTTAACTATCTGAGAAGATAAAATAATTTTAAAAGATGTGAATATTAGCCTCCTCTTAATTAAGAGCCTTGAGGTAACATGTAGTACACTTAAGACATATTCTTTTTTTCAAAATGAGAGGGTGCATAGTAAGCATAAAGGACCAGCAGCTGCATTCAGAAGACAGAAATAAATGCCAAAAATGGGTGAAGCAATTGCAAGCAGTCCCAAAGTGTTCTTTCAAAAGTGGTGAACTTTGTCAACTTCTGCACTTATTCTTGCTTTTTGTGTTTTCATTGGTGGGATGAAAAGCACTTGCCCAAGTTTATTTGCTGCTTTATGAATCTTCTGCCTATCTCCCTCTTGTTGCTGCTTTAACTGTGCCTTCAATCTTGCTTCTTTCTTTTTTAGAAAACTGATCAGATCACTGGCAGTGATTCCTTCACTGGCTTTGGTAGGTGCTGCTGTTCCAATTGCATCCATTTTACTGTCCTTTAAACACTTTTTTCTATAAACAAGTCTATATGGACCATGCAACATATTGCTTTGACAGGTACTATTATTGCACTTAAGGTCAGAGAATTTCAGCTCCACAATTTCTTGTACTTTCCTTACAGCCATGCAGAAATCTTCCACTCCTTTTTCTTGCCTTGTTCTGACCTATAAAAAGGAAATTATAATTAGATTGGTAAATGTAGATTGTACAAGTGCAAAGATGGCATAGACACATTAGGACTACCCCAGTGGTAGGTTCCGGGTGGTACGCTGGTATGGGCGTACCAGTGCCTGCTGGGAGCAGCAGGCACCATTCCTTTACGGTGCTTCGGAGGGTCCACCCTCCCACCTGTGTTCCTTAGCTGTATTTGACCCAACCGGGCCATTTGTGCACGCGCACACAGCGTATAACGCCTGTGTGATGCTCCGCCAAGCAGCTGGAGCATCACGGGCGTTGGGTGCACATGCGTGCATGCATGTGGTGGACGCCCCACTGCTCCCAACATGTCAACTTGCAGCCCCAGTAATCACTAGGGCTCAGGGAAAAGAAAAATTGCCTGTTAGCAATGATGTGGCCACAGCTTTCCTCAGTGGTTTTGAGGGCACAACAATGTCTGCTCTACCCAGGATGGACTGGCCTGGGTGGAAACTGTATGTGTCAGCCATCCAGCCTCCTAATTTTGCAAACCTGCCATAACTCAAAGATGATGGGACACTTTGGATTTGTAAAAATCTTGCACCTAATCAAGAGACAATTCTGGTGGTCTTTCCTCAAAAAGGACATTGAAAGCTATATGTTAAGTTGCCCTGTCTATGCTTTAGCTAAGTGGAGACAAGGAAAGACTCTAGGACTGCTCCAAATATTAGCTGAGGCGTCAGCACCCTGGAGAGAGATTTCTATGGACTTTGTATACTCCTAGTGTTGGGTAGGCAATATATATCCATATACAATAACAAATGGTCGTTGTTGCTTTAAATGAGTGGATGTACTTAACAACTGTAATTAACTTTACAATAAGAAGGAATCAAGAGAGCTCACGCTCTCTCTCTGCTTGTCCTATGCTTGATGACTTGATGACTGGATCGTGAACTACGACAGTAAGCA